ATGCCCTTGTTCTTTTTATTTTGCACACGCTAGGCCCTTGCTCTTGCTATTTCGCGAACGCTAGGCCCTTGTCCTTGATTTTTTGCACACGCTAGGCTCTTGCTCTTGCTATTTTGCACTCGCTAGGCCTTGTTCTTGCAATTTTGCTCACGCTAGGCCCTTGTTCTTGCAATTTAGCACACGCTATGCCCTTGTTCTTTTTATTTTGCACACGCTAGGCCCTTATTCTTGCAATTTCGCACATGCTAGACCCTTGTTCTTTTTATTTTGCACACGCTAGGCCCTTATTCTTGCTATTTTGCACACGCTATGCCCTTGTTCTTTTTATTTTGAACACGCTAGGCCCTTGTTCTTGCAATTTTGCACATGCTAGACCCTTGTTCTTTTTATTTTGCACACGCTAGGCCCTTGTTCTTGCTATTTCACGAACGCTAGGCCCTTGTTCTTGATTTATTGCACACGCTAGGCCCTTGCTCTTGCTATTTTGAACTCGCTAGGCCCTTGTTCTTGCAATTTTGCACATGCTAGGCCCTTGTTCCTGCAATTTTGCACATGCTAGCCCTTTGTTCCTTTTATTTTGCACACGCTAGGCCTTTGTTCTTAATTATTGCACACGCTAGGCCCTTGTTCTTGCAATTTTGCACATGCTAGGCCCTTGTTCTCTTTATTTTGCACATGCTAGTCCCTTGTTCTTTTTATTTTGCACACGCTAGGCCCCAGTTCTTGCTATTTTGCACACGCTATGCCCTTGTTCTTTTTATTTTGCACACGCTAGGCCCTTGTTCTTGCAATTTGCAATGCAATTTTGCACATGTTAGACCCTTGTTCTTTTTATTTTGCACACGCTAGGCCCTTGTTTTTGCTATTTCGCGAACGCTAGGCCCTTGTTCTTGATTTTTTGCACACGCTAGGCCCTTGCTCTTGCTATTTTGCACTCGCTAAGCCCTTGTTCTTGCAATTTTGCACATGCTAGGCCCTTGTTCTTGCAATTTTGCAAACGCTAGGCCCTTGTTCTTTTTATTTTGCACACGCTAGGCCCTTGTTCTTTTTTTTTTGCACACGCTAGGCCCTTGTTCTTGCTATTTTGCACACGCCATGCCCTTGTTCTTTTTATTTTGCACACGCTAGGCCCTTGTTCTTGCTATTTCGCGAACCCTATGCCCTTGTTCTTGATTTTTTGCACACGCTAGGACCTTGCTCTAGCTATTTTGCACTCGCTAGGCCCTTGTTCTTGCAATTTTGCACACGCTAGGCCCTTGTTCTTGCAATTTTGCACACGCTAGGCCCTTGTTCTTTTTATTTTGCACACGCTAGGCCCTTGTTCTTGTATTTTGCACATGCTAGGACCTTGTTCTTGCTATTTTGCACACGCTATGCCCTTGTTCTATTTATTTTGCACACGCTATGCCCGTGTTATTTTTATTTTACACACGCTATGCCCTTGTTCTTGCAATTTTGCACATGCTAGACCCTTGTTCTTTTTATTTTGCACACGCTAGGCCCTTGTTCTTGCTATTTCGTGAACACAAGGCCCTTGTTCTTGATTTTTTGCATACGCTAGGCACTTGGTCTTGCTATTTTGCACTCGCTAGGCCCTTGTTCTTGCAATTTTGCACACGCTAGGCCCTTGTTCTTTTTATTTTGCACACGCTAGGCCCTTATTTTTGTATTTTGCACATGCTAGGCCCTTGTTCTTGCTATTTTGCACACGCTATGCCCTTGTTCTTTTTATTTTGCACACTCTAGGCCCTTGTTCTTGCAATTTTGCACATGCTAGACCCTTGTTCTTTTTATTTTGCACATATTAGGCCCTTGTTCTTGCTATTTCGCGAACGCTAGGCCCTTGTTCTTGATTTTTTTGCACACGCTAGGCCCTTGCTCTTGCTATTTTGCACTCGCTAGGCCCTTGTTCTTGCAATTTTGAACACGTTAGGCCCTTGTTCTTGCAATTTTGCACACGCTAGGCCCTTGTTCTTGCTATTTTGCACACGCTAGGCCCTTGTTCTTTTTATTTTGCACACGCTAGGCCCTTGTTCTTGCTATTTTGCACACGCTATGCCCTTGTTCTTTTTATTTTGCACACGCTAGGCCCTTGTTCTTGCAATTTTGCACATGCTAGACCCTTGTTCTTTTTATTTTGCACACGCTAGGCCCTTGTTCTTGCTATTTCGCGAACGCTAGGCCCTTGTTCTTGATTTTTTGCAAACGCTAGGCCCTTGCTCTTGCTATTTTGCACTCGCTAAGCCCTTGTTCTTGCAATTTTGCACATGCTAGGCCCTTGTTCTTGCAATTTTGCAAACGCTAGGCCCTTGTTCTTTTTATTTTGCACACGCTAGGCCCTTGTTCTTTTTATTTTGCACACGCTAGGCATTTGTTCTGGCTATTTTGCACTCGCTGTGCCCTTGTTCTTTTTATTTTGCACACGCTAAGCCCTTGTTCTTGCAATTTTGCACATGCTAGACCCTTGTTTTTTTTATTTTGCACACGCTAGGCCCTTGTTCTTGCAATTTCGCAAACGCTAGGCACTTGTTCTTGATTTTTTGCACACGCTAGGCCCTTGCTCTTGCTATTTTGCACTCACTAGGCCCTTGTTCTTGCAATTTTGCACACGCTAGGCCCTTGTTCTTGCAATTTTGCACACGCTAGGCCCTTGTTCTTTTTATTTTGCACACGCTAGGCCCTTGTTCTTTTTTTTTTGCACACGCTATGCCCTTGTTCTTTTTATTTTGCACACCCTACGCCCTTGTTCTTTTTATTTTGCACATGCTAGGCCCTTGCTCTTGCAATTTTGCACATGCTAGACCCTAGTTCTTTTTATTTTGCACACGCTAGGCCCTTGTTCTTGCTATTTCGCGAACGCTAGGCCCTTGTTCTTGATTTTTTGCACACGCTAGGCCCTTGCTCTTGCTATTTTGCACTCGCTAGGCCCTTGTTCTTGCAATTTTGCACACGTTAGGCCTTTGTTCTTGCAATTTTGCACACGCTAGGTCCTTGTTCTTTTTATTTTGCACACGCTATGCCCTTGTTCTTTTTATTTTGCACACGCTAGGCCCTTGTTCTTGCAATTTTGCACATGCTAGACCCTTGTTCTTTTTATTTTGCACACGCTTGGCCCTTGTTCTTGCTATTTCACGAACGCTAGGCCCTTGTTCTTGATTTCTTGCACATGCTAGGCGCTTGCTCTTGCTATTTTGCACTCGTTAGGCCCTTGTTCTTGTAATTTTGCACACGTTAGGCCCTTGTTCTTGCAATTTTGCACATGCTAGGCCCTTCTTCTTTTTATTTTGCACACGCTAGGCCCTTGTTCTTTTTATTTTGCACAAGCTAGGCCCTTGTTCTTGCTATCTTGCACACGCTATGCTCTTGTTCTTTTTATTTTGCTCACGCTAGGCCCTTGTTCTTGCAATTTTGCACATGCTAGACCCTTGTTCTTTTTATTTTGCACACGCTAGGCCCTTGCTCTTGCTATTTCGTGAACGCTAGGCCCTTGTTCTTGATTTTTTTGCACATGCTAGGCCCTTGCTGTTGCTATTTTGCACTCGCTAGGCCCTTGTTCTTGCAATTTTGCACACGCTAGGCCCTTGTTCTTGCAAGTTTGCACAAGCTAGGCCCTTGTTCTTTCTATTTTGCACACGCTAGGCCCTTGTTCTTTTTATTTTGCACACGCCATGCCCTTGTTCTTTTTATTTTGCACACGCTAGGCCCTTGTTCTTGCAATTTTGCACATGCTAGACCCTTGTTCTTTTTATTTTGCACACGCTAGGCCCTTGTTCTTGCTATTTCGCGAACGCTAGGCCCTTGTTCTTGATTTTTTGCACATGCTAGGCCCTTGCTCTTGCTATTTTGCACTCGTTAGGCCCTTGTTCTTGCAATTTTGCACACGCTAGGCCCTTGTTCTTGCAATTTTGCACACGCTAGGCCCTTGTTCTTTTTATTTTGCACACGCTAGGCCCTTGTTCTTGCTATTTCGCGAACACAAGGCTCTTGTTCTTGATTTTTTGCATACGCTAGGCCCTTGGTCTTGCTATTTTGCACTCGCTAGGCTCTTGTTCTTGCAATTTTGCACACGCTAGGCCCTTGTTCTTGCAATTTTGCACACGCTAGGCCCTTGTTCTTTTTATTTTGCACACGCTAGGCCCTTGTTCTTGTATTTTGCACATGCTAGGCCCTTGTTCTAGCTATTTTGCACACGCTATGCCCTTGTTCTTTTATTTTGCACACTCTAGGCCTTTGTTTTTGCAATTTTGCACATGCTAGACCCTTGTTCTTTTTATTTTGCACATGTTAGGCCCTTGTTCTTGCTATTTCGCGCACGCTAGGCCTTTGTTCTTGATTTTTTTGCACACACTAGGCCCTTGCTCTTGCTATTTTGCACTCGCTAGGCCCTTGTTCTTGCAATTTTGCACACGCTAGGCCCTTGTTCTTGCAATTTTGCACACGCTAGGCCCTTGTTCTTGCTATTTTGCACACGCTAGGCCCTTGTTCTTTTTATTTTGCACACGCTAGGCCCTTGTTCTTGCTTTTTTGCACACGCTATGTCGGATTATTATAACTGATGCATGTTTGTAGGCTATAGTGGGGTAGCACATATGGGGTACAGCTTTCTAGGGTTGTATTTGTACCCAACTCTGACTTAGTCATTCTCATTCCTGTTTTCCTTGCTTCACATGGTATAGAGCGGGTCCTGCCTTAGGACCGTTTTTTTTAGGGCCCACCGAAGCGCGCCCCGAGGCGCGCCCTTTTTTTTTTTTTAGCGACCCCTCGGGTCGCCTTTTCCCTCGCGGCCCCGCTGTCCCTCAGACGCGGCCCCGCCACCTCTCCTGATCGCGGCCCCGCCGCCTGCTTGACGCGGCCCCGCCGCCTCCCCTGACGCGGCCCCGCCGCCTCCCCTGACGCGGCCCCGGCGCCTCCCCTGACGCGGCCCCGCCGCCTCCCCTGACGCGGCCCCGCCTCTACTGCCGCGGCCCCGCCGCCGCCTCTGACGGCCTCGCCGCTGCACCCTACGGGCCGCCACTGCACCCTACGACCCGCCGCTGCTCCTGCCGGCCCGCCGCCTCACCTGACGGCCCCGCCGCTGCTCCTGCCGGCCCGCCGCTGCTCCTGCCGGCCCGCCGCTGCACCTGCCGGCCCGCCGCTGCACCCAGCGGCCCGCCGCCTCTGACGGCCCCGCCGCTGCACCCTTCGGCCCGCTGCTGCTCCTGCCGGCCCGCCGCCTCACCTGACGGCCCCGCCGCTGCACCTGCCGGCCCGCCGCTGCACCCTACCGCCCGCCGCTGCACCCTACGGCCCGCCGCCTGCACCTGCCGGCCCGCCGCTGCACCTGCCGGCCCGCCGCTGCACCTGCCGGCCCGCCGCTGCACCTGCCGGCCCGCCACTGCACCGGTCGACCCGCCGCTGCACGTGACGGCCCCGCCCCTGCATCTCCCGGCCGAGCCGCCCCAGCAGCCGAACCGCCCGGGAGCCGAGCCGCCCTGCCGCCGAGCCGCTCGGGAGCCGAGCCGCCCTGCACCTGAGCTGCCCAGCCGCCGAGCCGCCCGGGAGCCGAGCCGCCCTGCGCCCGAGCCGCCCAGCCGCCGAGCCGCCCGGGAGCCGAGCCGCTGTGCACCCGAGCCGCCCGGTCGCTGAGCCGCCTTTCTGCATAGCTGCACGACCTGCCCTGCCTGGTGAGCACTGTCCCACTGACACTGCGAGCTCTTTCCCTACTGCTTGCACTGCGTCGCTGTCGTCGCCATGGCTACCCCTAGTGTCCTAGCTTTTGACGCTGAGGGTCGCGCCATTGATTTTGAGGTTTGGTTAGACGACCTGCAGCTGTTCTTACAGTGCGACAGGGCTGACGACCTTTCTCTCTTTGACCTCACCTCTGGCGCCTCTCCTGCTCCTGCTGCTGATGCTGATCCCGCTGTCCGCTCTAAGTGGGCCACCCGCGATGCTGCTGCACGTCTTGCTATGCGTCGCCACCTCCCTACCTCTGAGCGTGCGCACTTTAGTCAGTACAAGAGTGCTCAGACCTTGTACGACGCTGTAGTTGCGCGCTACTCCTCCCCTGCCACTGCTGCACTGAGCCGTCTCATGCTTCCCTACCTCTTTCCTGACCTCTCTGCCTTTCCCACTGTCGCTGACCTCATTACGCACCTCCGCACTAGTGACACTCGCTACCGCGCCGCCCTTCCTGCTGAGTTCAGCGCTAAGAACCCCCCCCCCATGTACATCGCTCTCTACTACGTAGTCGCGCGCCTCCCTGACTCCCTTCGCGTCGTCAGGGACCACTTTCTCGCAGTCTGTCCCACCACCCTCACCGTCGACCTCCTCGAGAAGGCCCTCCTCGCAGCGGAGAAGAGCATAGTCGCTGTAGGTGCTTCTCGTAGTGACCCTCGCACCCCATCTTTGAGGGGTGCTCTCCTTCCCCCTTGCTGCCCTCTGTTGCCTCTGCTGCTGCTGCCGACCTGCTTGGTCTTGAGTCGGTCGGCGCGGCGTCTGCCCCTAGTGGGAGACGTCGCTCCAGCAAGGGCAAGGGGGGCAAGGGCGCGGGTGGAGCTGGAGGGGGCGGGTGGCGGTGGCGGCGGTGGCGGCGGAGGGAGTGGGGTGGCGGCGGGACTAGTGGTGGAGGTGGTGGTGGTGGTGGCAGCAGTGGCGAAGACGGTGGTGGTGGTGCCAGCGGTGGTGGTGGAGGCAGCGGCGGTGGTGGAGGCGGCGGAGGTGGAGGCGGTGGAGGCGGCAGCGGAGGAGGCGGTGGTGGTGGAGGAGGTGGAGCTGGTCGAGGTGGTACCCAGCAGCGTAGCGGCGGTGGTGGTGGCCAGCGCTCGCAGCGGCAGCAGCAGCAGCGCTCGCGGGACATCCCTCCGCCTCAACAGCTTCGTGAGTGGTACGCTGGGCGTCAGAGGGGTGGGGGTACTGGTCCCTGCACCTACGTTCTTCGTTCCGGCGACCGCGCGGGTGAGCAGTGTGGGGGTGCCCACGCCACCCAGCGCTGCTTTGGCCGCCTGACGGACGCTTGGCGTCAGCAGTTCCCTGGGGCTAGTGAGATCCCTCGCTGGGATGAGCTTCTCAGGGCTGGTGTAGCGATCTTTGATCTTGATTTTGATGCTATCCTTGCTGCTATGTATGTTGTGGATTATAGTGAGGAGAATGAGGGTTACCGTTGTTTCCAGCCCGACCCGGGCATTGGTACTGCTGCGCTAGGTGCTTGTGAGGCTGCTGCTCTAGGTGCCAGTGCGTCTGTGCTCTCAGGTACTGGTGAGACTGCGCTCATAGGTACTGCGTCGTCCTCGTCCTCCCTCACTTTCACACTTGACTCCGGAGCTTCTCGCTCTTCTTTCGAGACCGCACTACCTTACGAC